GAAAGGTCTTTTGGAGAAGAACAAGATTAGACGAAGATAATTGTTTCGGTACTAATGAGATGATTGGGAATCTGAGAAGTGAACTAGGAAGCTTGAGGGAAAGCTTGCGGCAGTCTGGGAATAAATTAATGAAGCTGAATTGTCCCATAGCAACTTATGCTTCATATTTGGCTTCTTGATGAGAAAATGATTGCTCCTTTGTGTGTTTTTAAATAGTAGTAATTCATGGCATATAATTTGTGATCTTAAATGTCAGTTAAATTGCTGATCTAATCTGTTCATAAAACTCCTTGGGGCAATGACAGATTTCCAGCTCTAACTTGAGGCTGAAACTAAAAATAGCTTCTGGTCTTACCTTCCTTTTGATTGCTGCTGAAGAGCTGTTTGCGTTTTATAAGGTGAAGAATGTAAATTGCAGCTAGCAGGGTGGAAGCAGTAAGAAAGGATTTAGCTGTGTCATTTGTTGAGCAGAATATTCATTTCTTTTGCTGTGTCGTGCTTCTTGGGCATATCCCTTTATGGATGTATGTACATATGTGAGGGAAAAGATGTTTCACTTTCAACTGTAGTCTGTTGGCTAGGTCAAAGTCGCTGCCCAAAAGTGAGGATATGATGGAGTGCTATAATTGATTTCTTAAGTCAAGAGGTATCTCTTGTCAAGTGTTTATGAAATCCAGATCTGAGTTTGTGGAAGAGAAACACACTTGTTCTTTTGGACCAGGATTGAAACTAATGTTGTATTTAGTAATATTTTAAAGGAGGATTGTGTGTGCAGTGTCTGACTGCTTCCTTTCTGATTTCTTACAGTCTCACTGAGCAAATTTAGAAATGCATTTCAGACTTTATTTCTGCCTGAGATAATTTTCTTTTATTCTTTAATTAAAATTATTTTGATTGTTTTGTGCAAAGAAGGTGGGCAGATGAAAAGGAAGTCTAGGGAAAAGGAAGTCGAAGAAAAGAAAGAAAGAAAGACTTAGTTGTTCTCGGTTTGGGAGGCTAAATTTAGGAAAGTATTTTATACCTTTGTAACAGAGTGGACAGAAAGCATTTCAGACTTTGCTGGATAGATTTCTTCCAGGAAAAATAACCCTTTATGCAAGTAGCTTACTTTCCTGATAAAACAACATAAACATTTTGCATGAATATACTGACAAGTTTATACAAGAAAAATCCTTTCTACTGAAAATAAACCTTTGGGTAAGAGCAAATTAACATAAGAATGTAAATTTTTTTTTTTCTTCTGAAACTTTGTCTTACTTTGGTTTTATTGTTTTGGATTTTTTGACAGCATGGAAATATCCCTTTTGAAGATAAATCTGCTTCAATTAAAGTGGTAAGTTTTTATCTAGCATTAAATTGCAAGCCATAATAATGCATATTATTATTTCATACAATGTAATCCAAATTGCAGTCAGAGCTGGATTTTTCAAATTTCCACAAACACTCTAAAAGTCAAAAGAAGCTTTAGACCATCAACGTTCTTTATAGATTTTTCCCAAAATATATCAGAGCGTATCTTAATGTATTATATTTGGAATAATATTCTTTGAGAGACTTTGGCTTTGGGTATTCTCTGTTAGCATTGGGCATAAGCTCTGGAAGCGTGTATAATTTTCCTTTTTGTCAGATCTTATAATTTGGCCTTCCCCAGAATAGCTTTTTCCAGGAAGTTTACTCTTCCACTGCTGTAGGAATATGTATCTGGGGCTAACTTACTCGGAACGGTAATTGTCATAATTGCCATCGAGCTCTCTATGCTATCCCAACAAGTATCCCTTCCACTGTTTTTTGCATGGAGAAATAACCACAATGTTGATTATAATGTGGATATTTTTAAAAAAAGAAAACAAACAAAGTACTTGAGGGTAGGTTTTATGAAGGACTCTGTTCTCCTCTGCCCTGGCAGTTGAAAGGGTGTCCTCAATAGCTTTCTTTGCTTGCCATGACAGCTGTCAGCAGCGTTGGGATTCCGCTAGTCACGTATTTGTTTATCCCCTGGAGACAACTCATTCTCTGTTCATGAAAACCAAAGCAGCAGTGTATTATGCTGAGTTGTCTGCAAGTGAGTTTTCAGTACCTGTTTGTGTACTTTACAGTTGTGAGCCCATGGCAATTTTAAGCCTATGCTGTCTCACTCCATTGCCCTTCACAGTCTGTTCCTGTGTTTGTGCTGTAACTAGCCCTGGTACTGCTGCAGAGTGGGCTGGTTTAGGAGTCGATTCAGCCAAAAACTTACTTCATAGGGTTCCTTTCGGTCGGGTCTGATATGGCTCATCATACGGCTCTGTGAATGCTGGAAAAGAGGGGGCAGAATGCAAGGCAGGACAAAGGGGACAAAGCAATGTGATTTATGTTGGTGTAGCCTGACACAGAACTACACCTTCAAAACTTCTTAAGCCTTAGTAGGTGTCTAACCACCAAGATTTGAGATGGCAGGTTTGAGCCTTTGGGAGATGTCCGAGTAGTTAAGAATATATTCCTAGTCTGCCACTTCCTTGTTTTGATGCTGTATTTCTCTTGACATTATTGGCATGGTAGATGAATTTTCACATTCAGAATGGCTGTGACCTAATAATCTCAATGTGTAAAATACTTGACCAGCAAAAGAGAAAATCACTGGGAACAAGTGGAGAGTTTAATTTTGCCCTTTCTAGTCATCTTACTGACCCTTCTGTCCTTCAGCCACTGCAGATGGCTGCCTGATCACTCAGAGGTTACTGCCAAATAGTGAATTGACAGTACTCAAGGGAACTACCAAAATCTTTGGGTCTGTGCAGGTGGAAGGATAGAGATTTCCTCTCTGCTGGTAGTGTTTCTGCATTCTGCATTATAAAGTTTCCTCACAATAATTTCTGCATATGTAATCCCTGCCATTTCACTTTATCGTGTATTTGTAGTCCATTTGATAGTTCTGCACCTGAAGAGTAACTAGATACTAGGTAGTCTCAGCTTTACCTGGGAGACGTAATAACACAAGCCAAAGTCTAGCCTGTCCTTCTAGGAGAAGGGAGGGCACTAGTCCTGACATCTAAAAAAATGTTAGTAGGTAATGCATTTAATGTCCATGGCCCTATTAGATGTAAACAGCTTTATTAAGTGGTAATGTAAAATGTTAGGATTTATTTTTGTTTGAAAATTGTCATTTCAAGCTATCAATCACATTATGTAAAGTTCTGGAATGAAAAAAACTGACCTGTTGGTAAAAACTGTGTGAAATTGTGCAAAAAGCAAGTCATAATAAGTAAGTTACAGACGTGAGCTTGGTTTTAGCCCTGATTGCATTGGAAACTCAAGGACGTCATATTTAGCAGAAGCTAAACAGTGATTTTCTCGATGAAATCCCAACTCCTGAACTACAAATTAAGATTTATTCTTTTTTTCATGGGGGCATAGGGGGGGGTTGGGTTTTTTTCCTTTTTTTCTTTCTTTCTGTTTTGCACTCTAGAGCGAGATACCAGGCTTTTCATGCTTACTATAAAGGAAATCTCACTTTGGGCCAAGCATTTTTCCTTCACAGTTGATTTGGTGGCAATTAATTTGGGGTTTTTTTGAATTTTTGTTATTAGTTTGCTGCTTGTCTTTAAGCTGACAGAGTAAATCTGCATTTATGTTACAGGATTTCCTGTGGTATCCAGAAGTTAATGGTTCTATGAGGCAACGTATCAAATCTTGGACTGAGGTTTGTCTTAAAAAAATGTTTATTTTAGGAAAAAATAGCAACTGCCTGAGGACTACTACCTTTCTTTTTTTTCATACACACAACTACAATTACTAGGAGTTCAGCAACTGCAGCATATCACATATATTCAGTCAGTTATGTACCAGAGATCTGAAATTTGACATCCAGATAGTGAAAGGGGTTGTTTACTGGTGCCTATGTTTCTGGGCATCTCCTGGTCTCCCAAGGACGGCTTCACTTGGACCAAAAAAACCCCAGACCAAACCAGAAAACCCCTATTTCCTAGGAGCAGGTTGATTCATCCTATTAAGAGGTGAAAGGATTTTACTGTGATTTGGTGTTTCTCTTCCTCTGTGTCTGCGATGGCTCTGCTTTTATGTGGCTAAACATTTTTGATCTTGATGAATCCCTTCCAACTTGAGATAATCTGTGTTTTATGATTTTATATTCATGTTTATTTGAGTGTTCCAAACTGAAAGACAAAGGCACTTTGGAAAGTCAAGAATGCCTTGGTTATTTTTTTTTTCGGTATTTCCCTCAAATTACATACTAATTATTTTACTTGTCTCAGTTATGATATAGGTTGTCATGTTATTCAACATAAAATTATGTATGTAATTCTGATAACAAGTAATATGTTTACAGATCAGCAATTACATTTTTCTTGTTTCTTCCTTTGTTGACCTTTAAATAGGAATGGCCCCTGGTGATTCTTTTGATACCCTGTCTGTCATTCTTGCACAACACCTTCCCTCAAGATAGCTGAAATCATAATTTGTTTTTCTGTGATTACTACAAAAAATTGAGACCAGCTAAAGCCTTGCTGTACCAAGGCAAAACTCATACTGAGGTGACTGGCACTGTTTGTTTCCTTGTACTCTTCTGTTTGAGTACATATTCCATTCCTTGTCCTAGACATAATTTTCAGACCTCTGGGGCAGCAATTGTCCATTGTCCTTGTTCTGTTTTTGCAGCGGGTTTACAGTTACTTCAGTCAGTACAACAGCTCAAACAGGTGTTTGAGAATGCGGAGAGACACCGAGAGGAAAAAATGCTTCAATAGTATGATACACAGTTTACTTGCCCTTAGGAGAAGATGTTTAGATAGCTTTTAAAGAGAGCTAATGCTGCTAAATTTATAATGATTGTAAGTTCTATTGCTTTACACTTTTGCAAATTCTATTATGTGAAAATTCTGGTATATCACAAGTTGATGTTCTCTGTAATATGTCTGCAATCTATTCTTTTGTAATCATTAGCCGATGGACAAGTTGAGTCACAGTTAAAATATGAGTCTTAATTAACCTGCTCAGTATAATAATAATAATAAGTATAATTTGTGAAGATTTTAAAACTAATTTCTTTTTACTTTGTGTCTTAGAGTTCTGTGGCAAAACCTCATATAATTGTAGCAGGAGCTGCCACGGTAAGTTATACATATATGGGGCATTTTAGTAAAGAAGGAGGTTCTAGTACGCTCAACTTACGCTCTTAAGTTGGTTACATGATGTTGTTGTTAAATCCAGTTTATAATAAAAAATATACTCTCAGTGAATTTGCTGTTACAACAAGTAGTTCTAAAATATCAGGTATATTTTATCATAGTGGTATGATGTACAGTATTTGCTTTTTGGCAGCAATACTGGTTGATAAACATTGATTAGCTTGAACCAAGCATACTTAGTTTTCCTAAAATTGACCAAATTGGCCATTATTTATATATAATGTGACTGGCTTTGCTACTTCATCATTGTTCAAAGTCAAGGGGCTTTTAATTAAAACACCTTGCATCATTTAATTTATGACAAATCAAATATACTTTAAGTTGAATATTATACACTCTGCATTTAAATGGTCTATTTGAATGTAATTATCTGTCTAGACAGCTGCTTTGTCCAAAAGAAATTTTTTAGCACTCTAAAGGCGAAGACTAAAGAAATAATCTAACTTTATAGAAATAATGAAAAATAGCTACTAACGGAGCAATGGAATCAGTTAATTGAAGGTCCTCAGACATACAGGTTCTGGATCTCCTTCTTTATTTCTCCAGTGGTCTATCAAGATTCACAATGGCAGCAGCGAAGCCCTCGCACAATATAAAATCAATATCACTTCAATTGCACCTCTTTTGGAAAAATTAGCAAGAAGTAGTGATGTTTACTGGGTCTTACAAGGTAAAGTAATGAACAGTAGGTAACAATTTGTACTGTCACTGTCTGTTGAATCATTGTCTTGTGGGATATGGAAAACTTAGTCCATGCTGCTTACTTGCAGAGTAAAAACGGTGTTGGTTGAATTCCAATCTGGCCTTTCTTGCAGCCTTAACTAGCTGGTACCTAACTAGCTGTTACTAGTGATGGAGATTTTAAAGCTGTCTCAGGAAAATCTTTTGCCTTCTGAACTCTGAATTCTTTGTTAGCTTACTCAGACTCAATATGCCAGGTCAGTTCTCCCTGTGCTGCGCTCCATGCGTGCCTCTTGGGAGTCAAGAACACAAGTCTATAAAACAGCTGTATTCCTGTGTTTGTGTTCAATTAAATTTTCAGATTACATAAATAATGCGAGAGGTTCAACAAGGCCATCCTCTCTGTTTGTCTAGAATGAATAAACATCATTTCTGAAGCCTGCAGGCAAATAAGTGGTGTTCCCATTCTTCTGAAAAACTGAAATTCTGCCATCAGTTAAACTGGAATCAACAGGAGCAAGTGGTATATGCTTATGGACTATACCTTAGAGAAATGAGAAGCTGGTTTCTTCTGCAGTAACTAGAGGGTTTGAGAGATTATTTTTTTCACATGTCTATTCTGCTGTCTACCTTCTGTCCTCTTGGCTTTGGAGTCTTTTCTTGGGGGATTCCATTACTGAGAGAAGGCATAAGCAGCTCAGCATTCCAGCATTATGCACTCTTCATGGGTTTTTGGGAAATTAAACAGGCATTCGTGTCTGGCTGAAGCTTTCCAATCTCTAAGTACATATGCATGACTAGGGAATGGCGATGAGAACATTTCATCATAAACAACTCTCGTTACTACTGTAGTTACTGTAACAGTCACTCATTCCTCATTGTACATTTTTTCTGTACCATTAAACAATTGTGACTACGTAAATGAAAGTAGCCTGTACAACTTGAGCTAACTATTTGTCAAGTAGGAAATTAATATGCCTGTCCTTTGTCCTTTCAAATTCAGATCCTGTTTATGAAGATATTCTGAGTGAGAGTCGGAAAATGATCACTAATGAGAAAATAGATGCTTATAATGAAGCAGCTGTTCGTATTTTGAACAGCAGCTCCCGAAATTCCAAAGCTAAAGTTAAAGTGTTCAGTGTGTCAAAATTGATAGCACAAGAAACTATGATGAAGTCTGCAGATGGCCTACATCTCCCTGAATCAAGTAGAGATACAGTAAGTGTTTTTATCACTGGTCAACATTAAAGAGTCATAATAATAAGAAAACAAGATTTTACATGAATGTTCTGAAATGGCAGACAATATGAATGTAATGAGGACCTGCACACTCTTCAGGAAATTTTATTCAGAAGATCTCAAGAGGTGGGAGGGCAGTCAGTTACATAGGATGTTTAAAAAACTTAATAGCAAACACATTAGTGTGTAGCTATTTTAAAATAGCTGTTAATCCGCTAGATCTTTTAGATCCTGAGAGCAAACTTCGTGCCTTCATCTGCATGAATGAGTTGGAGTGATAATGATTTGTAAAGCAGTGCTAAGAAATAAGTCTTAAAAATGTTCTGAAATGGCAGACAATATGAATGTAATGAGGACCTGCACACTCTTCAGGAAATTTTATTCAGAAGATCTCAAGAGGTGGGAGGGCAGTCAGTTACATAGGATGTTTAAAAAACTTAATAGCAAACACATTAGTGTGTAGCTATTTTAAAATAGCTGTTAATCCGCTAGATCTTTTAGATCCTGAGAGCATCTTTTAGATCCTGAGAGAGATCTTAGCATTTCCTGCTAAGAAATGAGTCTTAAATGTTCCCCTGTGTGCCCATATAATTTTGTTTAGTAAGGAGTATGAAAAGGATAAGAAAACACACAATATACACCTTCCTGGTTGCATGGAGTGCCACTGACTTTATTTCTTATTTTATCTTTAACCTACCTATATATATATGTATATGTGCATGCAGTGAGCACCTCTGGGCTTTATCAGACTGCCCTTCTCGTGGCTGAGCTCTCTCGCTGTGTCACTTTTGGTTCCACTCCTTTGCAGCTTTCAGTTGCTTTCAAGTGCTGGATGAACTAAACATCATCTCACCACAGGTTTTAGAGACTTTCATTACCATGCCCAAGTTTGTTGTGAGCTGTTTTTCATTTATAGTCCGTTTAGCTCTTTATAGCTCCTTTTACAGGTAGTAGAGAGAACCCTTCTGTTGTAAGGATTAGAATTAGCTCTTTTTGCTTACCTCAAGAAGCTCAAGGTTTTCCTGTTCACAGGAAATGTTTTGACTGTACTGTTGGATGTGACTAGGTATATGGGGATACTGTGAAGTTTTATCTATGTAATGCTAAGGGAGAATTGCATATGGTTTATATCCATGCATGATCTAGACGAAAATTTCTTATGATGAAAATGTTAACTTTTTTTACTAGAGACTAATTGACAAAATTGCCTATTTCTTCAACAGAATGCGATGATTCTTATGAATGTCTACTGCAATAAGATAATGAAGCCCATTGATGGCTCCTGCTGCCAGCCTCAGCCTCCTCTCACTCTGATACAGAAATTAGCTTTCTGTTTCTTTTCTTTGTCCATTGTTGGATATATAATTATCAGTGTAATTCATCGGAATAATTTTCGGAAGAACAAATCATGCACTGATTTGGAAAGTGGAGAGGAGAAGAAACCTGCCATCAGCACTCCTAATGTTTCTACTTTGGAGATGCTCTTACACTCCTTCTGCAAACTTGGTCTAATCATGATCTATTTTTATCTATGTGACAGAGCAAATCTTTTCATGAAGGAAAATAAATTTTATACACATTCATCTTTCTTCATACCAATCGTCTATATCTTGGTTTTGGGGGTATTTTATACCGAAAATACCAAAGAGGTAATGATCATGCTGACATTCTGTTATAACATTGTTTCCCAGTTTGAGTGTAAATAACTAATTGCTAAATATTGAAAGTTGTATTTCAAAGTCAGTATAACTCATCTGCAAAAAATGCACTCACAAGCATTATAATGTTTGCATGAAATTAGATGCAAAAGCTTTTTGAAAGTATATGAGTGTGAGTGCTTTTAGCCATTGTCACCCAGTCAAATGTGAAGTGAGGATAACTCAGATACGAGAGAGTGTAAAGCACGTTAAAATCTGGTAGACCTGTGTCCGCTAAACAGAAGTCTTTTACGATTGAGACCTATTTACCCATAAAGTGGTTTATTGTTTTGAACTTTTTCTCCTCATTTTGTAGATGTTCGTTGTACTTTTTGGAATAGCAACACTCTTGTTTTGTTTTGCATTAGACTAAAGTGTTAAATAGAGAACAGACTGATGAATGGAAGGGCTGGATGCAACTTGTTATTTTGATTTATCATATCTCTGGAGCAAGCACTGTAAGTGATTTGAATTTTTTTTTCTTTTTTAAGTGGGAATCCAAGTTGGGTGTGTTACCTCAGAAGAAAGATAGTGCAAATGCGTGTTAGAGTTGAATAGAGTGAATAACACATGCTATTGTTCCTGTAGTTTTAAAAATGGTATTAGCGGAATTAGTTTTTCTCTCTATTTAAGTGTACATTGCATTGATGGCATTTTATGCATTACTTAGCCAATTTAAAAACATACTTGTTTCCTCCATGAGAATATTATGTTAGTTTATTTTTAATTGCTAGCAAAACTTCATTTTTATGTTCAGAACTTGAAACTGCTGAAGGGGAGCTTTCAAAGATCCTTTCTTAACTCTCTCTTAACTGGTTACAGAATATGGAAAGTGAAGAGCAATAAATAGCAGAAACGCATTTTAACGTCGAAGAGGTTGGGGCAACAAAAGAGCTTAGTAAGAAACAGGGAAGTGCAGCATAATGTTTCTTAGTTAAACCTGATTCACTGCAATGTAGAAAAAACATAAAACAGGGGGGGAAGCAAGGAAAATCAAAAGCATTTATGTGGCCATTTATAAAAAGTACTTTATTTTTCTCAACAGTTTTTGCCTGTGTACATGCACATCCGAGTTCTGGTTGCTGCGTATCTGTTCCAAACAGGTTATGGACACTTCTCGTATTTTTGGATAAAAGGAGACTTCGGTGTATACAGAGTGTGTCAGGTAAGAATATCTACTTAGCGATTTGTTATCTGAACAAATTTCTTTATAAAAATATCCATAATTTATCCGTACTTTCTAAATAATGTGATATAGGATTACTAAACCAAGCTTTGCACAGTAAAAATGGCTGTTGTTTCTATGTAATCTGACCTGTTTAATCGGTAGTGTTTATCTAATACAAACATATAGCATAAATGATACTTGCAATGTAAAAAATGTAAGTATGTAACCTTTAAAATATCAAGACAAATATTTTCCAATATATTGCAATGGAGTTTTCATTGCAGCAGCAATTTACAATATATAGGTAATGATCCAGGTAGGCTGGCTGGCAGTAAAGAGGGATATCATTGACAACAAATTTATTTGCTAAAACTTCCTGGATTTATTCTATAGTCACTGGTAAGAGGTTTACATGGGTAGCTGTGATATTCTGAATCACCCTCTGGAACAGCCTTTCTCCTGTTACTACTGAGAATAGATAGGTGGTGTGAATGTTCTCATCTGCTGCCCCCCTCTTGGCAAAAAAAAAAAGATGGTTTTTCCAAATTAGCCATTAGAACTACTTCATTTTGCTTCTCTTACCTTGTTCTTATACCATCAGTCTGCTCCATGTTGATATCTTCCCATGAGGGTTTTTTTAATTATTAGTATGTTTCTATTAATTTTATTGATACAAGTAGATAAATGTTTGGTGAATCCACTTGCTTAAATTATGAAAGCTTATAATTTTTGTATGCATTTTTGATTTTTTCCTCACTTGGTGAAATAAAAAACTTTTTGCTTGGTTAGTTGTAGTCATTAATAGTGTCCCGAAGTACTTGTGGTATCTTTCTTTCCTTCAGATGAGTCATCTTTTGGATTTGTTAAAGAAACTCTTCACATTGCTATTAAGTATCCAACTGTTTTGGATTGAAGTAGACTACTAATACATGAACAAGAAGCATCAGTGTAGTGTTTGTTACCTCTTTCAAGACATAGCAAAGTATTGCCAAATATTGTACATTACTTTTTCTTTCATTCTCAAATGAGAATTTGTTGGGTGTTTTGTTGGTTTTTTTGTTGGGACAGTTAGTTCTGTGTAACAGTATGTTTAACCATTTGATATGTAGAACATGGTCACAAATACCACCCCCCTCTACTGCTTTTCTTTAGCAACAGATGAAAATTTCACATGTAAGGTGAAAAACAAATATGAGGGGTTTCATTGTTGGGGTTTTTTTCATTTAAAAACTGGGGGTTTTCTGGGTCCAAAAGCCTTTTCAGTTACGGGTTTGAGTTTTCAGATCAAAATGCAAAATAGGGAGAAAACAAATACTTTCCAGTCAGCTATATTGATTCTGTGTGTTTTCTTTTCCCAAGACAGTGTATTGGAGCCTGTATTTATTAATAAAATTAATTTTCACACCAAAACAGGTGCACTGCCTGTGCACCAAAACTGGAGAACGTATCTATTTTTGTGGTTTCCCTCCCAGGTTTTGCAGTGTGTGCTGTAGCAGTTTAGAAATAAATCTGTAATTGCTGTTAAGTGTTATATTGTCATGTAACTCGGGTCATCGTGCTTATTAAACAGATGACTACAGCCTAACTGCAGCGCTAGTAGTGACATTACCCTAGCTTTAACTGAGCTAGCCCAGGCGTGATGGGAGTGAAAAGAGAGAGGCATTTACAGCATCCGGCAACTGGAATACTCAGTCCCCAGCCTGGAGTCAGTTCTATTTTACCCTATTTTCATTGCTATCTCTACCCAAGTAGGCCAGCACAGGACAGGTCCAGTACTACATAATCAGCCTGCAGTCTTATATTGCATTATTGATGTTCCCCAAGATACTTACTGTGTTTCAACTGAAATATAATCAGCATGTGAGATGTAAAATAGGTAGATGTGTAGTGCTAAAGAAACATGTTCCCTCATCTCTCTTAGGTGTGCCTCCTCGTTTATATATCCTCTTTATCTCTCCTCTGACTCCTTCCAGGTTTTATTTCGTCTCAATTTCTTGGTCGTGGTACTGTGCATAGTGATGGACCGACCTTACCAGTTCTACTACTTTGTGCCATTAGTCACTGTCTGGTTTATGATCATTTATGCCACTTTAGCTATATGGCCTCAGATAGTCCAGAAAAAAGCAAATGGTAAGTTGGGGTTTTTTTCCCCCTTCTGCTATAAAATATTTGCATGTTACTGCAAATGATAACCATACAGAAAACAATATTGTTAGTTCATCTCAGTCTCTTTTTAACATAGTCAAAATATGTTAAACAGCTGTTCACAGAAATAGATGAATTATATGTCAGTTGAAAACTGTAACAGCTGATAACTAAAGTCTTATCTCTGGTTACAGTTATATTAGAATACTTTTTAATAGGTTTTGACCATCAGAAATGTGTTTTATAAAGAGTTGTGATACTACTGAATGCAAACTAAAAAAAACATAGGTTACACTATCTATGCTAGCCGAGATTGTTGCTGTAGTGTACTAACAGGTACGGCATGAGCAGTGAGCATTTAGACTTTCCCATTCTGCATTGCTGACGTGTCTCCTCCATCTTGAGCACTAATTCTGCCATATCTTGCCAAATAAGAACTTGGGGTTTGTTATCTTAATATCTTAGATTAAGTGAACTATCAGAAGTATGTCTTGTAATACGGATATTTTAAATGAAAATTGTAGTGAAATCCTGGTTTCATTTATGCATTGCAGTTCACTGAAGAGCTGTCATCATGTGGTAAATGCTTATTATTTAATTCACCTAAATTAGAACTAAAACTTTAAGAGTCTTAGATCTTCCTACTGATGGAGTAATATCCAGATTTTACAGTCTGCAGATACAGCAATGAAATATACCAAATGCATGGTAGGAATAGATGCTGCAAAGATAGTAGTTTTACAAGATATCTCGAAGGCAAATAGCTCCAATACTTTTTTTTCTCCCTACAAAGGCACTTCTGTTCCAGATACAGAGAAATTACGATTGTATGCTTTGAAGCAATAGTGTACTCTGAAACTAGAAAATCTTTCAGTGACAACTTTCGCTTGTTTATGTCCCTGTTTACAGCTGCCAGTTTATATGGCAAGAGAGGGAGATGATCTCTGTTGCAATGTTGAGGTTTAGGTAGAGGTTAATATCAGTCCATAGCTTTGAGGAGCAATTTCTCAAGTTTGTCTTAAGAAGATACTTGTATTTAATGATCTGCAGTTGAGCTTTGGAGTACAACTGGTGCCTCAAAGTTTAATATTTCACATGACAAAAGCTGTTGGGCATTTTGTTTGATTTATTTATTTACATTTGCCTAGAATAAGGACTGCCTGTGCAGTGTGTTTGGGAAAGAAGGGGCTTTAAAATAGTGTTTCTGTTTGAACACCTAAATTATCTTCTATCTGTATGTATGTTGTCCCTCTTTTAGACATGAGGCTTAAGTTAGAATTAATAGGTTGTTAATTGCTGTAAATGTTTATTTTAATTGCTTAAAGGAAAATTTAATGTGTAAATGTAGATAGTGATAAAATATTGCTAGTAATATTTGAACATTTATTTATGAATGCATCTATTACTTAAGCATAGCTACACTAAATAGTTGACAATTATTATTTAATGTGTCTGGGGGTTTGCTATTGAAAAATTGATGACTGTGTACTCACTAAATTATTTCTTCCTCAGGGAACTGCTTATGGCATTTTGGTTTACTGGTGAAACTGACTTGCTTACTGACATGTATATATTTTCTGTCATATTCTCAGGTTTGTAAATTTTGACTATTTTTATCCTTACCGACCTAAGAGTATATTACCTATCTACTTCTTAATGTGCTCATAACTTGTATATTTGCTCCTGTATCACAAATACAGGGGGAAAAAAAAAGGAACCTTCCAATTTCTTTTCATATTTGAATTGATGTGGGTGATGGAAAAAAACACAATCTGTATCTTACTCATTTGTTTGTAATACTTGACATGTTTTCAGTACACTACTACAAATGTAATAAAGACAAAGGTCTATGCTTTGGTTTTGGGGTGGGATTTTTTTGATGTGCTTAAAGTTACTGGGTTTTGCTAGCATATGGTGATACATATGATGATATGGTGATGTGAAGATCTGTGTGTTAGAGACATGGTGTTGGCTTTGATACTTTATCAAAAGACTGGTTCTCATGCTAAATTAGCAACTTAGTGCATGCTGTAAGTATAGTTGACAGAAACAAGGGCAGAGTTTGTCACTCTAGGATTTTACAGAGGGGGTTGTGTGGTTTTAATCCTTCTTTGGTTTTAAGCGTGTTGAACTGTAGTCTTCTGTAGAGTATGCATTCGTTATCCCAACACACCAGTGGATCTTTAGGCCTGCAGTACAGAATGGAAGGTGCGCCAATACTTCTATGGGAAGTAAAACTGAAATTCTCTCTCATCTGAAGAAGTATTTCTGTTTGGGTTTGTTGTTTTTTTTCTTTTGTGGGGATGAGTGCCTTTTAAGGACGCCTGTTACTTTGGTAATGCCACGCAGCTAGTGAAATAGAGATGTGATACTGTTAAAAGACAGCACATTGATTTAAATTTACTAAATATGGTTGACATCAGTGTTAAAGCTTTTGCCATGTTTATTTTTTACAGGGTGCATTTGAGAAGATCTTTTCTTTTTGGCCACTGTCCAAGTGTTTTGAACTGAATGGGAATGTCTATGAATGGTGGTTTCGGTGGAAGTTGGATCGCTATGTATGTAACGTTTTCATAAATTTATATTAGGAGGGAGAGTTGTTTTCATTTCCTCCAGAGAAAGCAGGCATTTGTCCCAGTGGATTGTTTAATAGAAGACTAAGCTGCATCCACATTACTTCTGCAAATGTCTGTCAAAGCCTTGCTTAAAAGATGGATGTTGAATTTTTTTTTTTTTTTTGCTGCTGTATTCTGCTTAGTTTGCTTTTAAAAAAGTCATAAAGTGGCCTAGATTTGTCTTTTTTCAAAAACTTTACTGCGAAAATTTAACACCTGTAGCATTTCAGGCTATTAAAATACAAGGTAAATTATTGTGGTGGCTTTCTTGATAACATTTTTTGACAGTTGTATCAATTAAGGATGTATTTCTTTTAAGGCACCTTTTAAATCACTTAAAATCAGATGCCCAAACGAGACTATTCTTGCACGTATTTTTAAATGGTTTTCCGCTGGGAAACTGCTTTCTTTCCAGTTATTGACTTTACAACGTGGGGGAATAGAACAGGGAGACACCGGTCTTTTATTTGCCTCCTTGGTAAAGTAAGTGGAGTTTCTAAGATGGGAGCATTTATCTGCTAACCTTATCCTTAACGGGATCACTTGCACTCTTCTCCCTCTGGCAGTCTTCAGTAAATGAAATCTGCAGAGCACACAGCTGTCCCATCCTGGGCTGCTCCCGTCAGCAGCGCACACTGCGTTGCGACATTTCAGACTTGGAGCTTTGTTAGTTGTAAACAGTGTGTGTTCTGTGATGCCACTAAAGACAAAGTCCCAAAATAAATACAGGAGACAAGCACCACATGGGCCTGAAACAGCATCGTGTTGCTAGCTAATGAGAACTTGGCAAAAGATCATAAAGCACTCTGTTGAAGAATTGTGTCTGTGAGAGAGGGAAGCACTTGTAGTGCTTCTTGAATGTTTTCACCTGCCAACTTGGGAGAAGGCCAGAGACTCATGGTTTTTTTTCCCTAGAGAAAGCACTTTTCAGTGCTGGCAGAGATTGCAGAGAGGATAGTGGGTACTTAAAAGCTTCTTGAAATTTCATTGTCATGTCTTTTAATGCTCTGTGAAGCATTTTATTTGCACTTTTTTAGCTGAGTTAAAAATGCAGCTTATGACAACCTAGTGTAGAAAGCCTATTTTTGTTTGCTTTGGTAAATCTGGGAAAGGACCTTTTGACACCTAAATTTTGGTATTACTGATAGTTTATCCTGTAGCATTTCTGGTAAGAGTTTGTACCTGAAGTACTTGTAAAAGCCATGAAATATTCATTGCATTCTGTTTGTCTTTTACAGGTGGTTTTTCATGGGATGCTGTTTGCTTTTATTTATCTGGCATTGCAGAAATGTCAGATGATATCAGAAGGAAAGGGAGATCCTCTTTTCTCCAACAGAGTTTCAAATGTTTTATTATTTATTTCAGTTGTATCCTTTTTGGTACGTACCTAGTATAACTAGTATAATCAGGTTTGTAAACCTCTAAAGAATAAGTTTTCTGAAGTTCTTGTTTACAAAATGTATTAATTTAAAAAATCAAGTCTTGATCTGGAGATATTTCAGCTGTGGTTTTGTGCACGGCCCTACCTATCTACCCACTAAAATATTTTTTCTTTCAGTCAAATGTAGATAAAAACATCTTCACTCTTTTGGTTCATTGCAAAAGTTACAAGAAAATTGGATCATAAAAATAATATGGTAGATAATGCAGCTCTTATCTCCGTTCTTGATTGCTTGTCTATTTGTGATGAAAAAATTGTCAACAGTACGGCTGTATCTTAGGGTCTGAATAAGTATAGTATTCATCAGTTGCAAAGAAGAATTTGAGAGAAACACAAAACTAAGCACAATGTATTTTTTTTCTATTACTGTCCCACATCTTAGTGAACCAAGTGCTGAAGCACTTCAAAATAGCTTACCTCGTTTCATTTTTAAATGTTACATATAATTGCTACACAGACTGATTTTTATATCTTTTAGATCTACTCTGTTTGGGCAAGTAGCTGTAAAAACAAGACAGAGTGCAATGAACTGCATCCTTCTGTTTCAGTAGTGCAGGTAATTATAGTCCTTTTTCTTACCGTGATAGAATCTAGTCTGTTCTTGTTTGTACTTTTTTAAAAAATTGTTTTTAAATATAGAATGTCAGATATTGAGTTTCATTCTTTTGTCTGAAAGTAAAAAAGTAAATTGTTTGTCATTGCCTTTAAACACTGAAATCATATACTGTGATTATGCTTTTGATTAATCTTGATGTCCTTAGTGTAGGTTTCATATGCACTATTTAAGTGCAAACCCAACTTTTGACTAATTGAGTAACAGTGGAAAAGAAGAAAGCTGTAGGGAAGCATGAGTGTTTGGGAGGTATTGGCGTAGGAAGCAACTAGGGGACTCTGTAGTCACTTTTAGGCAGAGAAGAGATGGGCCACAGGGGCATGCGTGTGGTTTTTTTCAAATTTATATTTTCCTCTTACTGTGTCTGCTGCCCCACTACACCCCAGCTCTCCGATTCTGTTCTCTCTCTGCTTCTTTTTTTTTCCTGCTCTCTTGAGGGGCAGCATGTGTGGCTTAATTTTTTAATATTAATTTGTCCATCTTGACACTTTCTCTTTAAAAAATGAGGATTAACTCAGATTTGTGGCCACCTTCATTTTAGGCTGGCGTGGTATAACATGTTTTGTGACTGTGCCTAGTGAGTGTACAGTAATATCCATCAGCATCATGGCCGTGATTCTACTGAAGATGTAAATGTGACTTGCTATGCTATAAGAATGTGTGTAAGAGATTTGCAATTTCAATACCTACTTTGTTAAGTGTAAGCTGCATGGATTTTTGTTTGGTTTATGTATTTATTAGATTTTTAAAGAAAATTTAATGCATGATGCACTTCAATTTAGACAGTGAAAATGAATAAACCTTTTTTTGCCTGTGTGTTAATTTGCTTGTCATCCACAGTCACTTTTTTTTTTTTTTTTAACTTTTTTCTAAAAAAGATTTTAGCTTTCATCCTCATCAGGAACATTCCTGGATATGTCCGATCTGTGTATAGCTCATTCTTTGCCTGGTTTGGCAAAATTTCTCTAGAGGTAAGTAGAATGATCAGAAGTACAGTGAATCATAACTTAAAAACATAAGGTGGTTTTATTTTCTCACTTGTAGTATAACACAGAAATAGTGAAAACATTTACTGGCTTATTTAATACTATGCTGTTGTGTTTGACCTCTTCTAGCATTGTAGCTTCCGTCTGCATTTAAAAATCATAGCCAAAATAGCAGCCTCACAGTAACAAACTTATTTCTTATGCTGTTTTGGGGGGGGAGTTCAGGGTTGTGAGAGTGGGGATTTCATGCTGGAGTAAGCTGGGGTGTGTATGCAGTTGGAAGATAAAAATTTAAGCCAGTTGAAGAATCGGCATAAATTACACTGATTAGTCTAAGTACAAATGTGTTTGTCCTAGAAAGCTTTCCTGTATTAATAAACAAATAGAAATTTACAATCAAAACCTTTCTTAGTGCGCGTTACCTTGTTCCATTGAGTTTATATGTTGAAAGAGTAGGAATTATCTTGCTTTCCATTTTATTTGCTGTTTAGTAATATTAAATGTTCAATTTTGTTGTATTACTAAAATTTATTTTAAAAAGGGAAAGGAACTTAGAGGAGAAACTCATTGTAATACAATGTATATGTAGTACACGAGTTTGAATTTTTTTTAAAGGATCACATTTTCACTGTTCCAATTTTGGGTGAACTTTAAGGTGCCGATCAACTCCAGGGACCTTTGCATTCACCAGCAGTTAAAGCATTATCTTTTATTTGCAGGCAGGTTAGTTCAGTCCCTCGCCAGAGATACAGTAACTGAGCAGAGGTGTATTCCTCCTCTGTTCTGACATAATGTCCATGAGGTGCCTCTATGCCATATTTGGTCGAGGGCTAAGCAAACCCATTTTACTGTGTACTGTTACAGACTAACAGTTTTGTCTTATAGCAAAGACGTGGAAAACAGCTTCTCAGAGCATCTTATTTAATCATAAATGTCTGACTTAAGCAGAAATACAGTGTGTCAGTTGATGCAATAGTAATGATTATATATTGTTTTATATATAAGTATGATTAAACACACTCATTTTTTCTTTCAGCTTTTCATTTGCCAATACCATATTTGGCTGGCAGCAGACACAAAGGGGATCTTGGTGCTTATTCCTGGATATCCAATGTTTAATGTTCTTGTCAGCACTTTTATATTTGTGTGTGTGGCACATGAAATTTCTCAGATCACTAATGATCTAGCACAGATTGTGGTTCCTAAAGATAACTCAACTCTACTGAAAAGATTGCTATGCATAGCTGGATTTTTTTCTGGACTACTCCTCTTCTCAGCAATGCAAGATCAGTCAAGGCATTAACTTGAAAAGATTCTTGGAAACTTTCTTCAGGTTTTTTTTTGTGTCTGCCTGAACAAAACTTCTCATCTGGAGGTACAGGAAGACATTTAAATGAAGTGTGTGGAAAATGTATATAGTGTAAATGTACATATTTTGTGTGAAATAGCCTCCTCAAAGAATCTGAGAAACAAGAACGCACTGTACAGAACTGCATGTGAAAATGAGTTTTCTACTGGATATATGTTTCTGTTTACATACCTGTTTAAACGTGACACGAAGAAGTGAAGTGAAATGGTTTAGCAATATCATGTGCATATCACGGAATTAACTTTACCTTGGGTCAGACGAATGAAGAGTGGGTGTTACTAGAGTACCGCCTGTACATTACACATGCTGTAATCATTCTCATCAAGGAACAAAACAGAGCAAACTTGTGATCCTTTGTTAATGATCACCTTTAGCTGATGTAAAACATGAAGTTACTGGTAAACCAGGGCATTTTTCTGAACAAAATGGTATTTTTTTTGTTTAGAAATGGGTATTTTAGATGGAGAATAGTACATGTTATATGAAACCCTTTATACTTAGAAATAAAAAGTCATCACCAGTTCAGTGATTTAAGGTTATAGACAAGTTTACATAGTATTTTATGGGGGGTTTTTAGAAATTTAAGATGTTTTCTGCAAATATGGTGAATTCTGAGGTGAAATTTTTGTTATAAAGAAAATCTTATTTTTTCCCCTAAAATCACTTGCTTTTCCGTAAGTTTTCCACTGATTCATTTAACTGTGTGCAGTTTTCTGTACAATCCCAGTGAACAAACAGATGAATAACTTTCAGACACTCAGCTCAATATGGAGAATTTTTGAAAGACCTCCAACCTTTATGAGTCAGATGAAATCCCATCACACCGACTCCATCAGCTCTTAAGGAAATGGGAGAACAGGGGAACAGTGATCTTCAAACCTCTGAGTTAGTAGGTGACCTTGAACTAGGTCTCATTAGGGAACTGGTGCCATATTCTATCCTGTAATAATATTTTCATTTAAAAGGATGCGAGTCAATCTGTTGATATAACGAGGAGGGATTGAGTGGTCATCTTGTTGCATGCAGATGGTTGAGTCTTAGAATTACAAATGAAATGAGGTTGGAGCTGTTTGGAGGAACCTTTTTCCCCTCCTTTTTAGCAGTGCCCATCTTTCTTAATAACTCTTGCCTTTAGCATAAAAAGGAAAATTGAAAGAAATAGCCTTTCAACATGGCAGTGACAAGCCATAATTTACGTTCCACTTACTCGGTGAAGTTATGGCCATTTCTTTGGTGTTTGTGGTTTTGGTTCAAGTGATAGTTTGACCTCTAATTGCTTTTTTTTTCATTTTATTCTTCTACTGATTACCTGTTGTAATTCTAATTACTTGCAGTCAAAAAAAATAGTTTTTTTCCAAGCATATGTGCAATTATGTATGATTATAAACAATACAAATCCTTATTTCTACTGTATGTACATGGTTTTGGTCTTATCCCTGTTAAAAATTTGAATTCCAGCCTTCAGCCACCAATGAGTGCAAAAGAAATTTGTGAAAGAATGGCTTCAATCATTTTATTTTTTTTTGGTAGAGAACAGTTTCATCTAAAGAATGACCAGTCATTCATCATAAAAAAGAAAAAATAAATCATTCCACAGTTTTACTAAACCTGCCAGCTATTTCAAAGCTATTGGAAAGGTACTCGGCGATTTGTTTTTTTGTGTGCATTAACGTTCCAAACATTGGAAGTAACCTCCTTGATCCGTACATTTGAATGGCCGAAATCAATGGTATAGGTGAACACTGTAGTGGGAGATAGGATGCATAACCTTCATCTATGCCAGTACTAGGAGCAATGGGGAACTGTGAGTTTGAGGGATAATTTTTGTTTTGTTCTTCACAACTTAAGTATTGTAGATATAATTTTATTTATCTGTTGTACAGAATCGGTTAAAAGGTTTATTTTTAATGTTTGAAATAATGCACTTGTTTACTGTATGTGGGATAAATATATTTTCAGGTTATGTAAAAAAAATGACATAATTTAAACCTTAAATAAATGTGCTGTGGATGCTTATTTTCGTAATGGGAGCAGCATCAATTAAGTAAAAGCTTTTTATTGCTTGATTCTAGCTGGGCTACAGTTCGCTATTATGCCTACCTTAAATCACAGATTAGTATTGCAGAGTTTCTCCAAAGTGATATTCTGGCTACTGTTACTTCAAATTAGGGGCAGATATTCACTTGTATCACAAATCATTTCAGATGCAATGCAGGAAGAAAGAAATTACATCCAAAACCACCCCTGGCGCTCAGGAGACTTCCGCAGAACTCCACAGCAGAGGTTTGGAATGCCCTACAGCAGAGGTCTGGAATACTTTTTCCTGATGGATTACAAGCTAGAAACTGCGGCAGAGCACTGCGTGAAAGCAGAGGAACCTACTTGGCTTTTCTTGTCTGGCAACATCAAGAAATCCATCCTTAAGATCTGTTTGGGTTAAGGAATTTAGCTTTTAATGTAGGTACTTCAGTCCCACTCTAAAGAGAAGAAGGGGCTCCTTGGATCATCGGGGAGTTTCTGTCTACCATGGGCACCTGAACTACGTGGTGCAAATCTTCTCCATCCTTTCCAGTTCCAACACCTACTTGGGCATCTCCCCCGATTAAACACAAACCCTGCGCAATTGGCTCCAGTTCTTAAGACACATCCACTATGACTGTCCATAATCTTAAAAACTGTAACACAGAGTTGTTCGGGCATCATCATGTAAAATAATCAGGCAGCAACATCATTACTTAATGTTTTCCTATTTATTAGATTTTTACAAGTCATATATTTACAAAGACAGCTGTAGTGCTTTCTATTTAATTTGGTTGCAACTGTCACTTAAATCAATACAATATCAGTTCATACTGTCAGCGTGCATCATTAAAGAGGCTGTGAATTTACTGTTTCAACTCTTACTAATTCTTGAGCCATAAAGTGTCTTTAGCCAGCTTTATAAATCTGTTCTTCCATAGTAATTATTTTAATAAGTAAAAATAAATAATTTGTTATTAAACTTACCTCAAATGAAACTTTCAATCATAAAATACGCAAGTCACCTACATCATTAGATTCTTTACAGAATAGGTGGAGCACCCACTGGTAAAAACTGATTCTTTATGCAAGTACATAACAGTTTAAGAAAATTTCCTTAACTCTATTGGCACTGTTACATACTTGTACAAATAAGATGGGAGCAGCTCAATCGGTATTTAATTGATTGTCATGTCATCCTCAAGTTACCAGAAATTGTCATGATCCAAACCCAACACTATTTACAAAGTTTAGTCTTACATTGCATTAAAAAAATCATTATTTAAAATCCATTCCATTAATTTGTTTCAAAGCACTGACAGCTCATACATTTGAAAACAGTAGTAGAAACCAAATGCTGATTGTTTTTTTCACAGCTTGGGTGAGAGAGGTAAATTTTGAATTTGCTATAGACCTCAGAGTGCAGTTTTCTAATTCCCTTCCCACTGACAAGCATTCAAGCTGCTGGAAAAAGGGAGGGGTCTCTTAGGAGGCCAACTGACTGGTGAAAGCTCTTCCTTGGTACCTTGGGGATGAGGTAGGTATGATGCATACCACTTTGAAAGTAAGTAGGAATGGCTCTTTATTCCAACTGTTGCAGAAACTGTCTTAGCTTTTCAACTTGCGTAACTGTAGCTTGAGCTACTTGTCTTAGTACAATAATCACTGGCAGTTTTCCTATGGCTAGATGCAGTTGTATAACATACTCTGTGGGTTGTGCTTAGCATTAAGGGCAGCTTTGCAAACTCTGGTGTTTAAGGCTTGATGATGCCCCAGACTGTGCACTGTACTGAGCACTGATTATATCCTTTGTTGCAATAGTTAGCATACTTGTTGCACAAAATGTGCCAAAAAGCAGCTCAGGACTTGTTTTAACTATCTGCCGAGGTGTTGCATTCAGGTCCAAGCCTACAAACATATCATTGCCTGCTTAAAAATGAACATAAAATAAGGTTTTGTGTTTTGAAGGAACAGGGTCATAACTGTAACAAGAGAAAGAAAAAAGCAAAAAAAAAAAAAGCGACTACTTAGGTCTTTCTGCAAACTCCAATAACCTTATTTTACAGTTTCTTTTTTACCCTCAGTCTTAAATTCCTCACTCAGAATTTCTCTTAGCAGAGACCTCAGAAACCTCAGCTAAGGAAATGTAGCCAGCATTTAGCAATTTTAAAGCAGACGCAGCTTTCTGCTTACAATGCAATGTCCTGATGAACACACGGCTTCTGAAAGAGAAAATATTACAGAAAAAAAGACAAAGCGTAAGTCAGCTTAAACTAGTATGATGCTTTGAGGTAAAACCCCAAGAACTGTTGGTGTGAGCTGTTACAGGGGGAGACCTTGAAGTCCTGTGTTATGCAGCAGAAAAAATCATTTAAAATATGCAAAAGACTATCAGGAGATAAATTATCGCCATCTATTGAAAAAAAAAAAGGATAAACCTTGGTTCAGTTCCTTTTAACAAAGTTCATGCTATGAAGCTTTCAGCTGCAGAGAGACTTCTCTAAGTAGCTACCTCCCAGGAAAGGAAGTGTTCTATCAACTCCTTTTTAAGATGCTAAAAATAATCCTTGGTTTATTGGATAGCTAGTTCTCCCACAACTGTTTTTGGTCCAAATAGCACAAAGAATGTGGAGGATATAAAGAAAAAAACCTGCATCAGAGCATCAGTAATATCAGGGGGGAAAAAAAAAAAGAGTATTGTTAAAGAGTTAAAAGTTAGTCCATGTATACCGTAACAAAATTTATCCTTATTTACTTGCAGACATTAATTTCTGCCTACTGGAGTTTGTAACAGTTTCTTCTAACATAACCAGATGAATGAATGGACAGATTTTAAATGTTTTATTGCTTACAGGTTGTCAAACAGTTTAAATATCTGGTAAAGGAACAGAAATCCAATTTTCAACAGGAATAGTTTGAGGGTTTGGTTTGGTTTTGTTTGTTGTTTTTTTTTTTCTCAAAAAAATAACTTTGCTCATTACATTTTGATAAACTCTATGAAATTAATGCCTAATAATTTCTGAGCCTCATCATATTGCACAAGTTTTGATGCTTCTACACTACTGCTTTTCGTGTGCAAATGTAAGGCCATTGTATCATCCCATTGAACAGAGGCTGAAATCCTTTGAACCTGGTGTTTGTTTTGAAGCTTTGACTTCCCTGTTAAAACTTACAGGAGAGATCACAAGACAGAATAAAGTTTGATATTTATTAATACGTATATCTGAAAGATTATTTTCTGAATGTAACAAATATAAAAAGTTATCAGTGTTTACAAATTGTCAAAAATGTCCAAAGTACAAAAGGATACAGTACATTAGTTATATGGAAGTGATTGTACTCTCTGGCACGGAAATCATCTTAATACTGTGGGCATGCACAATAGACACCAGAAAAACTCATGCATCAATCAGAGCAAATAAGGAGATAAGACAGTTTTGCTGCTTTCTCTGATTACAAATTCATTGCTTCCGTTAGTTTTCTTTCCTCAGGAATACCATTTACCTGCAAGTAGATGAGAATTTGTATAATCCATCAGTGGCAGACCATCCTTCAACAATATTGAACTGGTAATTGGGTGCACAGCACATAAACAGTATTCATTAGTCCTTTATCAACCACCACACTGGAGAAACACAACAAGTACAACCTGGACCAAAAGATGACATATACATGAAGTAGCCTTGCTTGCTTTCTTCTGGGAAAGGAGAGATCTGGGGAAAGATCGTACCTCTGGGAATTTCTCTCCGCCTGGGATCTAACAGACTTCATAGGGAGACTGTGGAGCTCAAAGAGGAAAATGCAGTATACGGTGTACAGGTACTATTTAATCTTCTGCATTATAGGAGTATCCTATACACATTTTCATCTAAACACCTTAAAATAGTCCTCATGAATTTTGCCAATTGACTGAGTGACAATTATAAAACTTCATATGCCTTTTTGTATTGGAAACTAGTAGCAATTTTCAGTAGTGTAATAGAAACATTAGATGTGAGTTGCCACCTTTCGTACAATTCTTAAAATAATTATGTTTTCACTTTGTGAAATAGTCGAGCATTACGTCAGCTACTAAGTCTGCATTTTTATATAAAGTTAATAATCCTGAGCGTATTATTGTGAATTCTCTGAAGGAAGAAAATTAACCAATGAACGTCTAGTTCTATAGGTTTTTTGGCCTTAAGTGTTTTAGTTCTGTAAATTTCTTATTTGAACAGATCAATAAAATTGATTGCTAAGTTTGTACTGATGCTACTAAAAAAATCTCAGGAGTGCCTGAACTTAGTTTTAAATTGTAACATTCTAAAAATTTAACCTTCTGACAGCATGAGTCAGATATCCTTCAGAAGATAAACTGCAAGAGGCATATGCTATCGTGTCACGGAAGTGCTTGCAGTGGCATGTGCACATCTGCGTTACGAAGGAAGGTGTCATTGTAAACTAAGAGAGGAGGAGGAAACACTGTCCGTCCCAAATACGTTTTCTTTCCTCCCCTATTTCTGAGAGCTTGTCACAGGCAGCACCTGTGATGAATATGAAAGAACAGATGTATTCTACCAAAACAATGTACTACAGAAAATACAGAAACAGGAGGAATTTTAAGATCTATTTTTATGGCAGTTCGTCAGTGCAGCTTGCAAGCAACAAATCTATGCTAGCTTAGATTTCATACCTTTTAAAAAAATTTCTCACTGCTGTCAACATCCAGTACTACCAGGTGATTTTGCATCTTTTTTACTGCAAGACAGACTGGAATTCTTGTCACAGAACAGTCATAACAGAAAGGCTGAACCATGTGACATTTTTATTCTGCTTTCTAAATGCCTGCAGTAGTGAGGATGAGGAGCTACACTAAATGTCAACCCAAACCTGTGCTGGAGGCTCTGGAGGGATACTGCCAGGGTCACTCACCATTGCCAGTATATGCATAATAAAGCACACAAATAGCAAAGCTAGCAGAACTGCAGTCAGTTTGGGTTTGGGGTTTTTTGGTTGGGTTTTTTTTTTTTTTTTAATAAATGTGTTTTTAATTTCCAGATAACAAAAAAACCCACGTGGGCAGAATCATCTATTATATACTTGCCTCAAATCTTTGAAATGTTGTCATACGAAATTCTCCTTTAATCCCCGAAAGCAGTAATGAAGAAGAAGGATTTTGAATGAAAAGAAAGAGTTGCTTATGTAACTGCTAAATTAAAACAAATCTTCCTCGTGGCGCTGTAGTTCCCATATTATCTTCAATACATATATATCTGGAGTTCTGCCTAAATTCTCTTTGAATATTCAAAAATTACACTCTGGCCTCTACATTTTCCTTGTATGATCCTTATCCCCTTTCTGACTAGGCTATGGCTGTCACTTCTCAGACTGCATATGCTAACTAGAGAGAGCAATCAGCCTTAGTCAGTACTCTGATGGGGTCATTCACAGCCTCAGTCAGTACATCGTGATTTGTGAAAATGATGTAAAAGTGATGACCAAGACACAGGAAACCAGCAGCACGGATATTTGCCTTGCCACAAGTTCCCCAATATCAACTCTCTATGTTTAGCAACAGCAATAAAGAGCTCCTCCTTCTGAGATTAACTAGTACTGACGGGAATTAGAAATTTTGATCTCCTATCAAGTTTTAGAGAATCTGAACAGCGTAACCAAATTTGCTAATGGGGCTGTAACTCCATGTTGTAATAGAAAAGTATTTATATGAGGAAGTTTCCAACTTAGCTGTACCAGATTCCACTGTCTCATGCTGAGCCCTAATGTAGCATTTCTCCTACTTGTTTAATTGATCCCGTTGCAAAATTTTCATTATGTATCAAACAACAATCTGGAATGACAATGCTGTAATACTTTACTACACTTGAAAATGCTTCCCACTGTCCGCAGACTGTATGTGTTTTGACTAGTGATTCCTCCACACTGGTCACTTAATAGTAACAGTATTTTCTCAGTACTGACCTGCACTCTGCTGCTGCGGAATCTGAGTCTGATGTGGCAGGTTCCTACAAGAACAATTTAATATCTTTAATGCTTCTATACAAACTCTGAAGCGTCTTATGCATAAAAGCTCAGTATTTAAAATTTGGGGTTTTGCTTACAAAGCAATAATCCATTTTCACAATGCAAATACAGTTGTCAAAACGTCAGCCAAGTCAATAAAAGAAAGAAAATGAGTGCTAAGGGATAGTTCCTATTATTGTACTTGTCAAGCAGGTTCAAAGGCTCAGACTTGGTGAAAAGCCAGAGGTAACAACAGTCACTGGAGGCTTCTGATGTTACACAAAGTTTGGTTTCCATAAGTGACGAACAGAGAAAAGGTGACATCTTTGCAACTTAATTATTGACTGTGGAATGAATGAATGAACGAATGGTTAGCTCGTTTTACACATCGGACCAGTTCACTCATGAAGGCAAAGTTACATTTTTGCATCCTGTGTGTCTGTTTTAACAGCTACCAGATAATAAGGTTGTTTTGACAGAAAGAAATTAGGGGTTGGAATGCAAGTGAAGCAGATAAAAACTCTATGATGTACAACGTAAGGCTCTGGCACCCCAGTCATAAAAAATTGCTATTCTGAATAGAGCAGGCACTGTAAAATACAGGGTAGAGCACTTTGCAGCAGTTGTACAAGGGATAATTTACACAGCTGTACTTTCTGGAGAATTTAGCTTTGGGACAGGGAGAAGAAAACACTCTTCTAGCACTACCTACGTTATGAAGGGAATTCCGGGTGAGCATGTGTAAAGTAGGGCCAAGTGAGTGCTGGCCCCAGACCAGTATGACTGGGGCCACGCAGGCTGGCCAGCTGAGGAGCTACTGACTGGAGCTAGTGTCACAGCGCAGCACTGAAAAACACCGCCAGCTGCTTCGGAGACCACCTCAGGTCTGCTCAACCCCAGGCACCTCAACCAAACCTTTCTAGAAATGCCTTTTTTCCTACAACACTTCTCTGAATTGGAACATGTACAAAGCACTAGATGGGTCTGTCTCGATAGTTTCATTAAGTTACTGATAAATGGAATTTAAGGAATAGAAACGAGTATTTTTCTGGTTTCTGTCTCGGAGGGAGGCTGGCAATAATGGAAATGGCTGAGATCTCTGAATGTCTTCATTGGCATGTCTGTATTTATCCTCTGTGTAAGAGAATATGCTCTTCTGTTCAATGTTAACATTTCAAACATATACCACGTATGGCAGGTACACAACCAAATACTTCCAAAGTCTGGATTATCTGGTATGAATACCAGAACTCCAAAGACACGGGGGTTAAGAGGTAGGGTGTCTAAAATAGAACAGTTTTAATTGATTCCTCTGTCAAAAGTAGTTTTTCTCCAAAACGTACAGAAATGTAACACAAAGTTTCTTGCCAAGTTGGCAGGCTGAAACCCAGCCATTTAATTTTATAACAGAAAGGCCTTTCTTTCTGCTTGAAATGCAAACATCAGAGCCATCTTGAACTACAGAGTCATTACCGACACCTCCATAATAAACACATTTCAAATGGCGAGCACTGGAATCCGTAGTTAAATCGTGCAACATAGTAAGTATTAAAAAACCCAAAATAAAATCGAACTACTTACTGCTGTGTTTGCATCAGTGGCATACTGGTGTTATCGTAGGCGTCTGGGTGAAGGGGCGGCACAATCTCACCGGTAACGGGGTGAAATACAGGAAGCGTCGAAAGCGGCCATGCTATCTCTCTATTTTTAGACATGTCACGAAGCTCTTTGGTTGATTTCTGTATAGCACTGTGGTGGACCAACTGGATGCTATGTCAAAAGGAAATAAAATAGTAACTATGTATTTTAACTGCTCTATCTAAATGGACAGACTTTTACAACTATTATTTTACTTAAAAATACAGGACTTTGATGCATGCTACAGACGCTACAGTGCAGCATTTACAGTAAACCTTTACACAGTTAATTTAATGAATATTGGATTTATTTCATTTTTAAGGCAGTAATTATTCCATTAGATTTTGCTGTCTGGGTAAGTATTTTTCATGGGACCCAAGACTGTGCAATTTACTGCTAACGTTCCATTTATTTGCTGCAATTAAAAGTTTTGGTTAACTCCTGATTCTTGTGGTGCATTCATAAAAACTCAGAGATTAATTTTAAAACACTCCATAGTATAGGCACTGGATACCTTCCAGGGTATTTGTTTTCCTGTCCACTGCCTTTAAGATATAGGCTGGGAAGTCCAATAACCAGGAGTATAAATTACATATTAGCATATTTATTCACTAAATACTTAACAGCACTATTTTATTTTGAATTCACAGTCATTAATTTCAAACCCTTTTTATTCTGGTCTTCTATCCTCACCAAAGCTCTGATTTAAAAGCAGCTTTCACATTTATGAATTAAACCATGGATTAGAGAGAATGAAAGAAGATTATGACACACATGTATGAAGCATGACAAGCTACTGAGAATGAAAATTAAATGGTAAAAGAAAAAATAACAGGAAAGAAGACACTTACTCTGGTGTTTGCATGTTTCTCTTTTCCCTAAAAACAAAACAAAATTTATGAATTAAATAATAGCATTGGTAGTTGGAACATTAAATCTATCTGATGATGAAAACAGTACGTGATGTAGAAATGCTGACAAGGTTATTGCTAAACGCAACTTGGCAGCATTTTCAACTGGGTTTATGATGAGGCCTCGATGAACGTACATATAGAGACGTGATACTGATGACAGACACACACACACTGACACACGCACAGAGAAATGGCAATGCAAGTTAAAGAACAAGCTTCTGGCTAAAATAAATTCTGTGACAAAATGAAATTGTAGTTTGTGTAAGAAATGGCAGAAATTACGTTACTTGCTGCTTTCTTTTTATGTGTTTTTCTTTTATAATATGTCTAAATGCAGTTCATATCCTCAACCAGATTTATTTTATAAAGTTAGCATTTTAGAAATTACTTAACATTTTCCTGAATCAACGATCCTTTATTAGTATTTTATTTGTTTGGGGCATTTTGGAGAGTTGTGTGTAAGTGGAGATTTTGTGGAGTTTTGTGCGTACGTTGAGATTCTTAACCCTTTCAACTAGAACAATTAAAAGGCCCTGTATCCATTCTTTTGGAAATTACTGTATGTGCTTAGATGAGAAATAGTTCAGTATTTCAAGCAGGTATCTTTTGGGCTGTTTTAAATGGTTTTAATGAACTGAATGGAATTCTCCTAACAAATAGTCTTCTATGCATTATAATCTTAGAAAAATCTACAACTACTTATTAGTGTGTTAAAGTACTCACACTCCTTCCCGTCGGCAGCACATGATATAGGCAAGTATTAGAAAAAGCACCAGTGCTATTGCCGAGGGCACTGCCAGTGTAATTAGGAAATCCGAGTAATAGTCTCTGCTTTTCAGTGTATCAGAAGGTGGCTTGTATTCTCCACCATCAGGTAATATCCCCTCGCCACGAATCACTTCCTGAAAGGTGGAAACTTGTTTTGTATTGTCAACCTGATACCCAGGGAAAAAAAAAAAGAAGAAAAAAAAGACAATTATGTAACAAAGTAACAGAATGTAAAAATAGGCAGTATTTAACCAGCCATAACATATCAAAGAATCCATATTACACATTTGACAAATTCTATAAATTTCATCTGATCACTTTTTTTTTTAACCAATAAAACTTTACATTTCATCGAAAGCTTCTGATGAATGTAATATAACTTTATTACTTTAGCACATTATCACATTCTTACTTTATTGTGTGCCTATCAGAGATAATAGGCTTTTTACAGATTAATGCTAGGGTTATATACCACAAATAGTATTTGAGTAAAAATTCTGTAAACATTTTTATTGCAAACTAATTAGTTGATACTGATATCTTTTCAATGAATGAACCCACTTCTTACTAGTCTTCCTAAGTAACAATGCTGCCCTCTCCTGTATGAAGGTGGTAGGGATGAAGAGCAGAGCACCTATGGATTTTCTTCCTCCTCCTTCCCATTGAGCTTTGCATCCAGGGCTCAAAAAAGCAAGAAGCATGAACGGAGCTGCTGAGGACTGAGCAGCTCTATTGCCTCCCCCAGCACCAGTGCAGGAAGCACCCCGACAAGAGATGTGCATTTAGCTGATCAGAGCCAGAGTTCCGAGCTTTTTCTACCTCTTAATTCAACTAACCTCCAGAAGGCTGCATTGCCTGGTTACAAGTAATTTTTTATCTATTTTTTAATGTCATTATCTACTGTTCCTAGAAATCCAACCTTTATTGCTACTAAATTTCCTATTACATATAATTGACTGCCTTTCCCACATGACTTCAATTTTCTGCCTCCATTTTCTTGTTATCTTCAGTTAGATACTACTGTTAAATTTTATCAGTGTTACTTTTAAAACCCTCTCCAGATCATTAATGAAAATAAATTATATTTGCCTACATGCTTGACCTTTTGTCTGACTGTTCACTGAGAAATCTTGCAACTGATGGTCATTTCTTTACAATTTACTCTAAGTCATAAAATGCTGTATCAAAACTTATGCAATGGATGAACAGGTTTTCATGGAATGCTAGAAATAATGCTGAGATTCAAATGCATACACATGTACATATATATTTTAAGTGCAAGACAGTTTGACAAAAAATTAATTTATGTATTCTTCGATCATTAAATTCTGCAGTATATTTTATGTTACGAATTCTACCTGGCCGCTTAGCTGAATCTCAAGCCCTAAGGAGACGCACAAAACAGATGTACGTATGCAGCTCCTGATGTGACTGGCAGACACCCATACTCAGGGTGAGAACAAGCTATCAGAAAGCAGCGTTAAACAGAAGCATGTATTAAGTTGACCCTCTTTTCAGTATTTGGGACCACAAACACAAACTTTAATCTACTCTTTGATTTAGGTGCTAACCGCCAACACCACCTCATAAGGAAGAGGAAGAGGATACAATGGTTGTATTTTCATTCACTGGTCTCCGTTGTGGTTATGGGAAACGGAGCGAAACTCCCTCCCAGTCCATGGATCTTGGGGGGCTTCCTGCCCTTCGGCTTGCCTTGTGAAAAGCAGATAGAGGGAAGCTTGGCTCTGTTTTCCCCTTGATCCAGCAGGTTACAGCATGCAGCAGCAATGCTGCTGGCAACAGTAACCCCCCCAAGACTGTTTAAATTCAGTTATTGTGGCATGCTGCCAAAACAAGTGCCACATTCAGGAAGGTTGGGTTATAGGCTGCTGTAGAAAATTACGCTTCTCTCTGAGAGCCTGTTCCTATTATACAGCCTCTGCTTTTCTCAAAACAGCACCACACTGCTCCATGATGAGTTTATGAGCCACTGTTACTGTTGTTTTTTCTGGAGAAGTACTCCTAACCAGCTGCTCTCCATTCTGCATGGGTACTGTTGATTATTCTTGCATTAGTGCACTATTCCTCTGCTGCTCCTTTTGAAATTCACCCTGTGAATTCACCCTGGGTCCTAGCTTCATCTAAGCCATGCTCCTGAGCTCCCTTATGAGACAGTATCAAAAACCTCACCAAAAAGAAATGACATCTGCTGCTGCAACTCTGTTCTACTTTCTTCTAGAAGGAAATCAAAGACTTGACATTGCTTGTTCTTAACGAAGGCTGACTGACTTCTACTGTTTTTCAGGTGCTGGTAAGTAATGCTGTGTACACATGCAGCTTTTGCAATTTCTCAACAGAAAGCCAATAAACAGTAAATAATCTGGATATTCTTTGGAAAACAAGTATTTTCCAGCTTTCTAACAGCTTTCCTAATTTATAGTGTATGAAAAGAAAGGGTTGGAAGTTATCTAATCAATTTTGCATATCAATACCTTTTCTCATACTCAATACATTCTTTACATTGTACAAAAGCCTTTCACATGTCCCTTTCAGTTTCCTCTTGGGTAATGTCTGAAGTAGCTCATCATCTAAGTTTATGTACCTTCACCATCTTTGTTCAAAGTTGTATCTGCCACGTTCTCTTCCAATACTGTATCGTTTCTTGATTCTCCTTACCAGAACTAAACAAAAATAACCTTAAAAAGCCTCTTTGGGAATTATACTCCTTCCATTGCAAACAGTCTAGTGTTCGGTTATCATTTTTCTTCTATTCGACTGAACAATGTTCCCATTTATTTTGATTTCATTAGTTAACACTCTTTTCTTTTTCTATTTTGTTTGTAACATGAAATATGTTTTAAACAATTTTCAGAAATTTTTTTTAACAGCATAGGAATATTAAACTGCTCAGTGCTGTAGATTCAATGTTTAAGAAAAAAAAATATATACACACACATTTTAGGAAAGCAAGTGTAACTAGCTGTATTAGCACACTGAATTAACGAACTACACCTACCTAAATAATTCTCTCATTACTTTTAGTTCTGGAAGACCTAGAGTTCTCTGGCCATTTAGATAAATCACTGCTACTGAAAATGAATATGGTGGTTTCACTGGTGCTCAACTGTAATAGAATTCAGCCCACACAGCAAAATCCTTTCACAATCTTAAAAGTTAGATGGAAAAAAATGTCCATCAGTCATGATAAAGTGGAATTTGGCAGAGCTGTCTGGCCAGGCTGGCAAAACTCTTATCTAAATCATGTCAGGCATGAAATACTGTACTTCTACAAACATCATTTTTATGCAATAATAAAATAACTCACCAGAGAGATTTTACACCAGTCAATATGGAATTGAGTACGAAATTTTTTATCACAGGTTATTACAGGCTCCATTTCTTGACTGCATCTCAGCTGATTTTGTGGGTTTTCTACTTCTCGTAAGCACGAAGAGAACGGGACATCAGCCCCAACCATAACATACACACTGCAGAAAGACAGGAGCGACGGACTGTCAGGATACCTCTCACAAATCCCCAAAGGACAATGACATACTCTTCCAAACATTATTATTGTTCACGGTAACGTTCAGCTGTGCTTTCAAGACTAAAAATCCTTTTTGAAATTATTTTTCTTGATAGTATACTTTATCTAAGCATGTGACTAGCACACTGAAATCAAAAGGATTTTTCTAGCTACTTATCACAACTTACTCTGTTTTGCTGCATAATGCAAATATTTGCTCACCATAGGAGTTGTCAATTTCTATGAAATCATGGAGCTCCAAGTGTAAGTTCCCTGTGTAAGTCAGTCGGTACTACTTTTGAAAAATCACATTAAAAAAGTGTAACATTATCTTAAGGAATCTTTGGTCTTGCTTAGCATAGTATTTATGTTTCCAATTAAAATTAATGAGGACTAGTTATTTCTAACCCAAATACTAATATGAAGCTGCCAAAATCCCCAGCTTCTCCTAAAAGATTCTACACTGTAGCTATGCACTGCCAACAAAATTTGCCGAATACTGAAAGCCAAATGTAAATTTAATACTTCATTTAGCATCACAGTAAACAAAACAAGAGCTACTGCACTAATTGTATTATTTATTTTCATATTTAGATATGTAGAATGCTGCTGGAAAATACAGTCTGCTGCAGCAGGCATCAATGGATTCCGAAACATAAATTAGGTCATTGTTGCTGTTCGGTATATAAGGCATTATCTGACTAAATATTTGATATGTAGCTGCTTATGTTAAGTGGTTCTGCTATTACTCTGGCTAGTATGGAAGTTGCTTTCCTTCTTTAGATGCGCTCAGAAACTCCAGATGCACAAAAGGGCTCTGAAACAACAATATTTTCTGCACACATCTCAGATTTTGAACCCTCACCCCTTCCTTAGATATTATTTGACACAAAATAGCTGAAAATAACTAGACATTTTTATTTTTGTCAGGGAAAAGCACTACCACAACCCTATTTTGAAAACACTGAATCCTTATGGCTTTCTAATTGAAGTATCATATTTCAGAACAGAATTTACGGTTCTGAATCACAACTGGAAAT